TTGACAGATGCAACTGTCTTTCGGGCTGCAAAGGTCGACAACAAGCTACACAAATTGGCCGGAAGCTCACTCCGACCCGGGCTGGCTTCGAATTCATGACCGTTTGGTCAGTAGTGATCTTAATGCAGCTGACTCCCAGCCAGCTGCGCCACAGTCCTGGTGAACTCTTGTTATCCTTTGAGGTTTGGTTCCAGAACGCCTTTAGATGCCCAACCCATGGCTGTTTAAGTCCCCATTGTATATAACAGTGTATTGAAAGGGTGTACCTTATATAAAATGGCAAAATCAAGGTTTGCTTTTGAAATTAAAAAAAACTATTTTGAAGCTAAGGATGAATCTTTGGGGACAAAATCTGTGGAGATTAAACACTGGTTGTATTTTATTTAGTTAGTTATTTTTCAAAGGATAATAGTGCTTCCAGAAGCCACCAAAATTGCCATTCTTTTATCAAACAAATCACAGTCTCGCCTTTATATCCTGCTTTCAACCAATTTCTCACTTTATTTACACCCCATGTTCAAAAGAGGGGAATATATAATGATACTGTGTCTTTGAGCACCCACAATTACTGCTAGACAGTAATTCATTTTTTCCTGATGGTACATTAGTAACAATGTCTGTCAGGTTTTACAATGTATGGTAATGTAATATAGCTGAGTCATGCACTGCTATTTGGACTCATTTCTATTGGAAATGATGAGTCATGCATTAACTGTATATAGGGAATCATTTGGGGAATGTGTTCTGGCTTACTCCAGGTGATTGTGAATGATGTAATCCTGAGTCTAAGTTAAGTTAATGAGTTGGGAACCAATCAGTGATTGCTATTAGGCCTGTGCGGTTTCGTTCGTTAATTTTGTAATTCGTTATTAATTTGTTATTTTTAACATTTACGAAGCGATATCAAAACACTTTTTCAAACCCGGAAGGGTTTAAAAATATCGAACCGGCAACCCCCATAGATTTAACGAGCTTCCGCTCGTTTCGTTAATGGGATGGAGGCTGCTGGTGCCTGGGAGCCAATCCGGCGCTCCCAAGCACCCAAGCAGTGCACCGTGGCTGTTTTTGATTGGCCGGCGAGCCCTTTAAAGCGGCTCCGCGCGGCCGTAGCTCATTGCTGCAGAGGGCGAGGGAGAGAGAAGAGGTCCGGGAGGGTTTGCATTGGGTTGGCTTGGCTTGGCTTGGCTAGCAACTGGATTGGATTCATTCCTTGCTAATTCCTTGCTTGGATTCATTCCTTGCTGCTGTGCTTAGTGCTGCTTATATTCCTTGCTTGGATTTACTTCCTTCGGTTTTTGTGAATTTGTTTCTTAATTTTTTGGTTAATTTTCCATTTTTAAATATTTTTAATATTATTTTTTAATACCTGTCTTTTATTCTTAAAAAAAATACAAAAAATATTCTAAAAAAAGAAAAGACTCTTCTGTTGGTGTGTGCTCTTATTGCCCTGTCTCCTGCCTGTGTTTGGTCCACATCAGGGCCATTTTTTGGTTCAGTTTCCATTTTTGAATATTTTCTAAAAATACCTGCCTTTTATTGTTAAAAAATACCAAAAATATTCTAAAAAACAAAACACTCTTCTGTTGGTGTGTGCTCTCGATTGCCCTGTCTCCTGCCTGTGTTAGCTCTACATCAGGGCCAGTTTTTGGTTAATTTTCCATTTTTGAATATTTTCTAAAAATACCTGCCATTTATTCTTAAAAAATACAAAAAATATTCTAAAAAAGAAAAGACTCTTCTGTTGGTGTGTGCTCTCGTTTGTCCTGTCTCGTGGCTGTGTTTGGTCCACATCAGGGCCAGTTTTTGGTTAATTTTCCATTTCTGAATATTTTCTAAAAATACCTGCCTTTTATTCTTAAAAAATACAAAAAATATTCTAAAAAAGAAAAGACTCTTCTGTTGGTGTGTGCTCTCGTTTGTCCTGTCTCGTGGCTGTGTTTGGTCCACATCAGGGCCAGCTTTGGGTTAATTTTCCATTTTTGAATATTTTCTAAAAATACCTGCCTTTTATTCTTAAAAAATACAAAAAATATTCTAAAAAAGAAAAGACTCTTCTGTTGGTGTGTGCTCTCGTTTGTCCTGTCTCGTGGCTGTGTTTGGTCCACATCAGGGCCAGTTTTGGGTTAATTTTCCATTTTTGAATATTTTCTAAAAATACCTGTCTTTTATTCTTAAAAAAATACAAAATATTCGCTTTAACCTAATCGATTCGTTATTATCTCAACATCGAATCGAATCGTATTTAATAACGATGCTCGAAAGCCGCTTTGCGCATGTGCGATTGCGTCCGCCATTTTAACGAATCGATTCGTTATATCCTTAACGAATCGACCCTCGCGCCAATAACGAAACTTCGGAAGTGTTTTTGCGCATGCGCGGGGGTCCGTCATCTTAACGAATCAATTCGTTAATATTTACGAAATTTTCGTAAATATTAACGGATTGTAGGGGGAAAATTTTGTAATTATTTTAAATATCGAAACAAAAAAACACCCCAATTACAAATTGATTTTAGAACCAAATTTTTTCTTGATCAACCAGGCCTAATTGCTATGTGTAAATGAAATGTATATAAGGAAGTCATGTACAGTGTATTTTCTCTCCTTGTGCTGTGATGCTGTTCGTCGAAGGCTCTATGTAATTGATTAAAAGAACCTGTCTGCTAAAACAAGATATAATTGTGTGCTGTGGTAAGTTTGTAATGTCATCTAGACTGGGGGAAAGACAATGGTAAAACTGACAATAGCTGGGCATGTGCTCAAGTGTCTGTAAAAGAGTTCCATAGTGACTGCAGTTTGTGGGAGCAGTTGATTGAAAATACTGTGCAGGAAGAAGCTACTGGAAAGCGCTGAAGTTGTGCAACTGATCTGCTGCTGAATTGGGAAATTAATCTCAACAATATCCTATTAGTAATACCTGGGAGATATACTTTTCTGAACTGGAGCAATAGTAACAAATGGAGTGATCAAAATAATGAATAAAACACAATGATCCTTTGAAAACCCTATCCTTTCAGGTTGCGCATGGGGTCAAAAACTCATTGCCTTCTAGATATTTTGGATTCCACCTAGTTCATAGACACCATGAGAAATTAGTAGTCATATGCTACTTTTCTCCATAACAGAGACTAAGTCAGTTTGTAACAAATTAAAGCAAAGTGAAGCTGGAAAGCATTTGATATAAAAGTTTAAAAATTATTAAATAAACAGTTGCAATGAAGTGCTACATTCAAAAAGTTTTAATGGAAGGAGAGCAAAGAGGGGACCAGTCGAGCTTCTCATGGGAGGGAATTATGCAATTTGGAAGCACCTACCAAGAAGGTTTTACTGAATCCCAGCCAATATCTTTTAGATAGTTGGGACCCAAGTTAAGTTGAGCTTTAAAGGTAATAACTAGTGCTTTGAACTATGCCTGAAAATAAATTGACTGCCAGTGAAATTGTTGCAATATGGTAGTTATGTATTCCCCCTAACCTTTAATCATCCCTTATAGGAGTATTTTGGACCCAACAGCCGACATTTATACAGCTTTTCATTCTGCACATGCTCAATTGCATTTCCCATTTTTAAAACAAGATTTCAGTCCTTCTCAGAGAAAAGGCACTTTGCCCATCCTGTGCGGAACTCGGTTTGAAATACCAGTCCTGTGATGAGAGGTTTGCTTGGCTTCCTTCCCTTTGAATGAGATATTAGGCCTTCACTTAATGTCACTCCCACTCCTCCAGCCTTGGCTCGTGAGCAAAAAAGCAGCATGATATGGAGAAACTTGATAAAAAGCCTCTTTGTGCCACTGATAACAGAACTATACACAGCCTTTTCCTCTCCTTTCGCAGCCACAGCAGCTTTCAACAACCTGTCCTCAAGGAGCAAGGAGCTTTATACCAAAGTGACATATTTATTATCCTTAGCCCTGTTTAGTCATGGAGGGTGAACGCAGGGTGGTCCATGTGACTTGACAGATTCAATGGCAGGCTGTGCCCCAATGGGAGAAATGCACAGCAGCTTCACCTTCCAGCGCCTGATTCTCCTGCTAGCAAAAACATACCACGAGTACAAATTTCCCCCATAAGCAAACACACAGATCATGACTGCACCTGACTTAGGTAATTGGTTTAATTTGAACTGGGTTCAAAAATGCAAACACAAAACAAAAGAAGAAAAGTGTGCTTCTATTAAATCCATTGCACTGTTAACATTCTTGATGCTGCAGGGAGGTGAGGAAAGAACTTAGAATGTAATTTTGCCCATGTATCCTCGGGCAAAATCGCACTGTGTTTGAGTCTGCCTTGTATTTAGTGAAAGGCAGGATGTCTTTAACAGAGCTTGAGGGTTCTGGGATACAGTTCCTAGAATCCACCGACAACCGTTGCTGAGAATGCTGGAAATGTAGTCCCAAAAAGTATTTTTTCCAAATTCTGAGTGTCAGGATTCAGAGTGTATAACCCTCCATGTAATACTGAACTTTTTTTCATGTCAGGAGTGACTTGAGAAACTACAAGTTGCTTCTGGTGTGAGAGAACTGGCCGTCTGTAAGGACGTTGCCCAGGGTACGCCCAAATGTTTTTTGATGTTTTACCATCCTTGTGGGAAGCTTCTCTGAACTGCAACTACCATTATGTTTAGCTAGTATAAATAAACAATGAAGAATCATGGGATTTGTAATCCAAGGACAACTGGATAGCCATAGGTTTCCTGTTTTACCCTAAATTCAATATCTATTCAAGGTTGAATTGCTTGACATATTAAAATTATGTGCCGATTGAGAAACTGATAAAGCAGCATGAAAAATATGTTTCTTGCCTGCCCCCACTTTATATACATTGTATATTTGAACCCAATTAGTTTAATTTGGCATTACAGTGTGTTTTTATTGTTTTTATGTTACATATAGAATTTTTTAAGTGGGTAGATTTTGTCTGAGAAACTTCCAACACTAATAATGGATTGTTAGTTTTTCCATGTTTTCCTTATGTTTGCAATCTCTCGCTTCTATTTCTGCAGCAATTGTGCTGAAGCTAATGGAGAAATGACTGTCCCAAGTCTACTCAAAGCATGCAAGACTATGATGGGATCTGAACTCAGGGTTTCCAGGATCAAAGCCAACATCTTATGTCTTCTACTGTACTGCCTCTCATACTGAGGTAAGGCTTCCTTCACAGACACACCTTTTACTTAGTGTTGCTAGGATTTCTCATTACATCAAAACAAGATGATAGAGTAGGGTTGCCAAACTGAACATTGGAGATAGCTACTGGAACTTGAATGACTGTGTAGAACAGGCATGTGCAAACTTTGTCCCTCCAAATGTTTTGGACTGTTAGGAATTGTGGCAGTTGAAGTCCAAAACACCTGGGGGGACAAAGTTTGCCCATGCCTGGTGTAGAAGAAGGAATTTTGGCATGTTTTCCTTGTTTCATAGCCAGTCAACAAGGAACACCATCTGAACATCACTCTTCTATAATAAGGGGACTGGAAACCTCTCATTTTCAAATTGGCAATTCTAGTCTTGATATATTAAGACCTCTCCATAAGAAAAATCACCCACCATGAGATTTTTCCATTTCTGCAAGAATGAGAAACACCTTTTTCATACTTATGCTTTGTTGTGCAAACAACATTGATTTGTTACAAAATTCAATATGCAAAAAAAAACTTGGAAAATGCAGAAAATTATTGAAAAAAATGTGCAAAAGTAATGTAAACTCAATCAACATAGAGAACATCTGGGTCATTTCATTCTCCCCTGACTGAATGTGTATGAACCTAGTTCTTGCCCTCTTCTTATGCTTCCTTCAGCAGACCTCAGGAACAGAAGGTTCTCATTTCCAGGTAGACGGTTACATTCAAGATTTAATTTCCTGGGGTGAGCTCTTGAAAGAAGTCAAAGCCGGGAAAGCTTCTGCATTCTGGATTTCAGTTTGACTCATTTAAGATCTGCCTCACCACTGAGGCCACTATTAATGAGCCACTTTAGTTCTTGCCTGGGTCTGGAAAATATGGGCACCTTATCCATGGTTCTGAAACCTATTTTCCTTCATTTCCCAAATTTCTATTATTGCATTGAGTAAGTCCTTTAAAATAGTTTGTACTTAGGCTCTTATAGTTGCTGTGTTCCCATTCTTTTGGTAAACATCTCTGTCTCTTTTGCTCTGATGCCTAAACCATATTTCAACAGAAGGGTTAAGTTATTATTGTGCTGGAAAGATTAACAGTGAAAGGTCACTTCATTTGAAGCAGATAGGATTTTTATTTGGAGAGGACAATTTGCCCTCCCATTCTTTACATCCCTGATTCAGTCTTTAAAGTTTGAGCCAAAACCTAAAGTAGATGTATTGCCCCACTAGTCTCTTTGCCACCTGGCTTAGACTTATGCACTCACTTTTCCAAAGACACACCAGTCTAATCCCATTGTTGCTTCATCTCACCTCCTTCCTAAAGTGGAGAGAAGATCAAAGATAGAGAATGCATAGGGCTGGTTAGATTTTAATAGGATTTTTAATGTACCAGCATCATGATGCATGTTGCTATCTTCTTTCTTTGATGTATTGAGGTGTTGGTAAGTAGCTTCTCCACAGGAGATTCTTCCTTTGTCCAAAAATGAATGCAAACTTTCACGGAAGATCCTTTCTTCTTCTTCCCCTCCTCTCAAAGGGAATAAAGGTGTTCCATTAATCAGTGTGGTACCTTTTGGTACTTCTAAAAAATATTGGTTTGATGGAGATTGTATTTGGGGATTTTTGACAAGCCATTTGCATTTGTACTTTGATATCTAAGAGACCTGGATTAATTTGTCTAGGGTTCCTCTTTTTTTTTTGTAGAAAAGTAACAACAACTCTTTAATGAGCAAACTATCTAAGTTACAAGATCAGAAGACTTGGGAGATGAGTGTAGTTCTTAATGGCAATATCTGACAAAGATTTGTTATTATTGGCGCTGAACTTTCAAGTTATCCAGCATATAACAATGTGATGTGCTATAAAACTTAGACAAACTTGTGTATTACTATACATATTCATAGGTCTCTACTAATAAGATTTCTGATATTGTAATAGCATGATGGGCAAAATCATCATTATCAAATTACATAAAGCTACAAGCATTGAATGAGATTGTCACTCGGAAAAAAAGTTAAACCTAAGGCAAGGATGGTGAACTTGAAAGGAGCTCTATTGCTGGCTAGGAACAGCATTGGCAAAATCAAGGTTGATGGTACCAAAGTCCAATCTAAATACTGTCTGAATCAAATCTGATTCTGCTGCTCTGGGATATTCTGGAGATTCCAGCAAATCCCCGGAGTATCCCCCAACTTTGCTAAATGCTGGACAAAGTTCATTTTTAGTGATTCCCAACCTTTTTCTTTTTTTCCCAGAGGCCACTTGACCAGGGACCACTCTCCAACATTAGTAACAAAAGGGTTATAGAATCATAGAATCATAGAGTTGGAAGAGAGCTCATAGGCCATACAGCCCAACCCCCTGCCAAGAAGCAGGAAAATTGCATTCAAAGCACCCTGACAGATGGCCATCTAGCCTCTGCTTAAAGGCCTCCAAAGAAGGAGCTTCCACCACACTCCGGGGCACAGAGTTTCACTGCTGAACGGCTCTCACAATCAGGAAGTTCTTCCTAATGTTCAGATGGAATCTCCCTTCTTGTAGTTTGAAGCCATTGTTCCACATCCTAGTCTCCAGGGAAGCAGAAAACAAGCTTGCTTCCTCCTCCCTGTGACTTCTTCTCACATATTTATACATGGCTATCATATCTCCTCTCAGCCTTCTCTTCTTCAGGTTAAACATGCCCAGCTCTTTATAGGGCTTGTTCTCCAGATCCTTGATGAGTTTTTGGTCAACTTTAGATTTGGTTTGATTATTTGGGGTGCTGATTCAGAAATTTGCATTAGGTAGACGACATCACCTCTAGTTTCTGATACAGAGCAAATGCCATCCAGTAGTCACCATCCGCTTGCCCACAGAAAACCATATTTAATAAGCCTCAGCACTCTTAGAGGGTTTTGCGAAACTAGTCACTCTTGTTGCAACAGTGTAGTAATGGTGTGGGTGTGGGCCATATTTTAGTTCTTGTGGACCACTAGTGGTCCATGGACCATAGGTTGGGAATCACTGGTTTAGGCTGAAAAACTTTGCATTACTCACAGGAATCCATGGTGCATCATGAAGAAGGCGAGTGATTCATTCAGGGTGAGTCTGGAGTTTGAAGCTTATGTAAACAAGCCCTGTGTTATTTCTGAGCCAAAAGTCCTTCTTTCAATAGGTTCCTATATTACCTGTGGTTTCACGTTTTCATGTGAAATCCAGATACGTAACTCCCATAGATACAGTGGCTTGTCTGTGCCTGCAAAGAAAACCACAAGGAAGCAGATCCCAAAGGCAAAGGCCATGTCTCCATATGCATCTTTTCATATTTTCTGCCATCCCATCTATCTTAGTTTATAATTAAAGGATATCTAATTTCTTATACTGAAACCTGGGATAGTTGCTTTTTTGACTATAACTCTAAAAGCTTCCAGCCAGCATGAGCCCTTACTTGGGCAATTCTGGGAGAAGTGTAATTTTTCAAATGCTGAATTTATCCATAATATTGCACTATTGTGCATAAATATTTATAGCATTTAAGGGCCAATTTTAACCATCCAGAAGATTCTTAAAGTGCCATATACATTTTTAAAATGGGCCTAACAAATGACAGAAAAAGGAAAAGCAACAGCATATTTTTTTTTTTAGAAAGAGATCTAGCAGTATAAAGCAGATGCAGTTTCAAAGGCATATATCAAAAGAAAGCATCTCAGCTGACAACAGAGTACAACATCTGGTGAGTCTGCCTGGCAACAGCATTCCACAAGTGAGACACTACAATAGAGAAGAGCCTAAATCCTGACTTCTAAACATTATGTTACACATAGAATTTTCTGGTGTAATCTCACTAATTAAAACTTGTAGTTCAGCCATCTTCAATCTGCATCCTCAGGGTATGTAGCTGTTCAACTCTTATAATCTCTGTAGTGTATGAATATGCTCATTGTGGTTGATGGGGATTGTAGTACCACACATCTGGAGCAGGCCAGGCTGAGGATGGATGTTATAGTTATCCAGGGGTTCTTTTCAGTTCTTTTTCTATTTCTTTCATGTAGCCCCACCATGGCTGGAGATTCTAGGATCTTCATGAACCAGGACATGGAAATTGATGTCACTCCAAGAGAGCTTAAGAAGATTCCCAAGCAAGCCCGAGATGATATCCCGATTGCCACCGATCGAACGCGTCTTTTGGCAGCAGAAATAAAAAAACCACGCCAACGCTACATGGAAAAAAGTGGCAAGTGTAATGTGCACCATGGAAATGTCCAGGAAACCTATAGATATCTCAGTGACCTCTTTACCACTTTGGTGGACCTCAAGTGGCGCTTTAACCTTCTTGTGTTTACCATGGTCTACACCATCACTTGGCTGTTTTTTGGTTTTATTTGGTGGCTCATCGCCTACATTCGAGGAGACCTAGACCATGCAGAAGATGAAGACTGGATTCCTTGTGTCGACAATCTCAGTGGATTTGTCTCAGCGTTCCTGTTCTCCATTGAGACAGAGACCACCATTGGATATGGCCACCGGGTGATCACAGAAAAATGTCCTGAGGGTATCATATTACTTTTGGTTCAGGCCATACTGGGCTCTATAGTCAATGCATTCATGGTGGGATGCATGTTTGTGAAGATCAGCCAACCAAAGAAGAGGGCAGAGACCCTCATGTTTTCCAACAATGCTGTGATTTCAATAAGGGACGAGAAGCTGTGTCTTATGTTCCGAGTTGGAGACTTAAGAAATTCCCACATTGTTGAGGCCTCCATTAGAGCCAAGCTGATAAAATCCAAACAGACCAAAGAAGGGGAATTCATCCCTTTGAATCAAACAGACATCAATGTGGGATTTGACACAGGGGATGACAGGCTGTTTCTGGTGTCCCCGCTCATTATTTCGCACGAAATCAACGAGAAGAGTCCCTTTTGGGAGATGTCCCGTAGCCAGATGGAAAAAGAGGAGTTTGAAATTGTGGTCATTTTGGAAGGGATGGTGGAAGCAACTGGTAAGGTCTCATCACAATATTGATGTTGTTGCTGCTAGTGTTGATTATCTTTAGAGTGCCAATTTATGAATTTAACAAGAATAGTAAAAAAACAAAAAACCTTTGATTTATCTGATCTCTGGACTTTGGTTATAGGAAATGGACTTATTCTGATTAATTTGTTCACCATCTCCTAATGCTGGTTAGTTGTTATCTGTGATCTTTGGTACATTTCCCTCCTATCAATAGATCATTGATTAAAAATGCTAGGAACTATACACAGCACATACACTCTACCACTCGTTTATGTCAACTACCTACATCCTTCTAAGTAAAGGATGATGATCACATGATCCTGAAAATATTGTTGGACTGCAAGCTCCAGAAATCCTAGCTAGAAATGCGAGAAATGAGAAATGCGAGAAATGCGAGAGATTGCACAATTGTGAATTACAGAAAATTGGGAGAAATGAATCAATTTATTATTTATTTATTTACAGTATTTATATTCCGCCCTTCTCACCCCACAGGGGACTCAGAGTGGATTACAATGTACATATATATGGCAAATATTCAATGCCAAAGACACACAACATATATAAACAGATGGTCAGAGGCTATTTAACTTTTCTGGCCACCAGGGGAGCTGCCGCTTTCATCGTCCATCTGTGACACTGATGAAGTAATTCCGCATTCCCTGCATGCTTTGCTGGAGTGCTTTGCTGGAGTCTTTTTTATGGCCTCGTAAAGTAGTTAAATTAGCCTCCCCACACATAGGTGGTACTTAATTTTCCTACTTGACAGAGGCAACTGTCTTTCGGGTTGCAAAGGTCGACAACAAGCTACACAATTGGTCAGAAGCTCACTCCGACCCAGGCTGGCTTTGAACTCATGACCTTTTGGTCAGAAATGATCTTAATGCAGCTGACACTCAGCCAGCTGTGCCACAGTCCCGATGCTGGACTGGTTGCTTTAAACAGTGCTCAGTGTTGCCATTCATCTAGGACAGTGTTTCTCAACCTTCCTAATGCCGCAACCACTTAATATAGTTCCTCATGTTATGGTGACCCCCAATCATAACATTATTTCTGTTGCTCCTTCATAACTGTAATTTTGCTACTGTTACGAATCATGTAACTATCTGAGATGCAGGATGCATTTTTAATTTGAACACTGGTGGGGCTGATTTTGTCATTTGGGAGTTGTAGTTTCTGGGATTTATAGTTCACCTACAATCAAGGAGCATTCTGAACCCCACCAACGATAGAATTGGACCAAACTTCCTACACAGAACCCCTATGACCAACAGAAAATACTTTGTTTTCCAATGGTCTTTGGTGACCCCTCTGACACCCTCTGGTGACCCCCCCCCAGGGGTCCCGACCCCTAGATTGATCAAATCTGATCTAGGATTTGGGAGCCAAGCATGTTCAGAACAATCCAGAAAGAGCAGCATCATTACTAAGTTGCCTTACCACACTTTGCATGGGAAAAGGGCATATTACTAACACACCTTTTGTAAGATCCATAAGTCCAGATTCTAGCTGATAGTGCTGAATGGGAAAATGTTTTTGACTGGTTCTTATAAGCAGGATTTTTATGCCTGTATGGGTGATCATTTCCTAAAAATCTCTTGTAGGAAAACCAGCAGCTAATCCTTTGAGAATTTGCAGGAATGTCCTGCCCAGCCAGCTGGGAACACAGAGCTTTCCGTGTTAGCTAAATCCCAATAGGGAAATACAACATTGGCTCAGAGTAGTTCATCCAGCTGGGAAGCAAATAGATGCACCTGAGACAAGACTGATGTTGGATACATTTCAGGAAAAAGAATGTGCTAGTAACATAGATAAATGATAGATAGATAGATAGATAGATATAGATAGATAGATAGATAGATAGATAGATAGATAGATAGATAGATAGATAGATAGATAGGCAGAGATGGCATTTCAGTGTCATATAGAAATATATTGTATACAAGCAGTCCAAGGCAAGGAGACGGGTGTAAACAAAGAATGGGCCAGGATTGGAAGAGTCAAATTTGGGAGACATCAATTTTTCCTAACTGAGGATTGGCTCGTCCAATGAGTTCCATATTGAAGAAAAACTATACTATAGACGTTCTTCCCTTTATAAGCAGAGCTTGCTACAATTACTTCTTTTGGGAGATGATATTCAAAATGCCCCAGCTGCTCTGAGAGTTGAAACCCACCCAAAAGCAGCTTTTCCAAGCTCTGTTTATGATGAATCAGGAACTTGTATAGAGTGCAACATTCCTTTCTTCTTTTTATGTTCTATTCAAGCCATAGGTAAATGAATAATCTGAAACACAACTAAGCAGCACCGAATTCAGTTAAGCTCTTGATCCTTAGAGAAATATTGGCTGTCATGGAAATTATAGGTAAATTTGTGACTAACAAAATAGAGGTAAGTTTGATGTTTACTTCCTTGAGTGCTATATATTGTAGGCCCCAGGGAGATAGTTTTACTGTTTTGCTAAAGGAAAAGAAGGACGAAGAAGACTTATTTCCTACAAATTAAGACTGGCATGGATTCTCAGACTGATGGAGGCTGAGAATTGTACCGGAAATGGGCCACGGGCAGGTTCAAGAGCAGGGACCAGAACTTTAAGGCCCACAGCTTGGGTATAGAGGTATTTTCATAGAATCATAGACTCATAGAGTTGGAAGAGACCTCGTGGGCCATCCAGTCCAACCCCCTGCCAAGAAGCAAGAAAATTGCATTCAAGTGATAGCCATCCAGTCTCTGTTTAAAAGCCTCCAAAGAGCCTCCACCACAGGCCGGGGCAGGGAGTTCCACTGCTGAACAGCTCTCACAGTTAGGAAGTTCTTTCTGATGTTCAGGTGGAATCTCCTTTCCTGTAGTATGATGCCTGCCAAGAAGCAAGAAAATTGCATTCAAGTGATAGCCATCCAGTCTCTGTTTAAAAGCCTCCAAAGAGCCTCCACCACAGGCCGGGGCAGGGAGTTCCACTGCTGAACAGCTCTCACAGTTAGGAAGTTCTTTCTAATGTTCAGGTGGAATCTCCTTTCCTGTAGTATGATGCCATTGTTCCACGTCCTAGTCTCCAGGGCAGCAGAAAACAAGCTTGCTCCCTCCTCCTTAAGACTCCCCCTCACATATTTATACATGACCCTCATCATGTCTTCTCTTAGCCTTCTCTTCTGTAGGCTAAACATGCCCAGTTCTTGAAGTCTCTCCTCATAGGGCTTGTTTTCCAGACGTTTGATCAGTTTAGTCGCCCTCCTCTGGCCACATTCCAGCTGAGAGTCAACATCTCCCTTCAGTTGTGGTGCCCAAAATTGAGCACAGTATTCCAGGTGTGGTCTGACCAATTTTGGACAGCAACTGCAAGAATCCTTCTGCTAAAATGGCCACTGTGGGAACTAGAATCCCAAAGGGTAATTTTTTGAGGTGGTCACATCTCATGGGAACTCTCTTTCTGAATAGTGATGCCAGTTGAGTTTGGAGCAGAAAAAGCTGGGAACTCTTATATCTGCAGGGTGGTGAATCTGTTCTGGGTTTTTGAACTATTCAATATACTGGATCTCTTTTGAAGATAAGGTCCATCATCTGCCTCCTTTAAAATTTGGATTGAAATGCAGAACCTCATCAGCTGCTACTGGACAGTAGCTAAAGATCCAGGAAGGAGAAGAGAATGGGCCACACTCCAGAAAAACATGGAGTTGGCAGCATTTTTACAGCCTTGGTAAAATAATCACTTGCCTTGTTAAATTGAGTGATTTATAAACTTTAATGTCTGTATTTCTTCCAAAACTGGGACACTGGTTCACAAGATTACAGGTATAGATTTTTTTTGTCATGTCAAGAGTGACTTGAGATACTGCAAGTCACTTCTGATGTGAGAGAATTGGCCATCTGCAAGGCGTTGCCCAGGGGACACGCAGATGTTTTATCATCCTTGTGGGAGGCTTCTCTCATGTCCCCGCATGAGGAGCTGGAGCTGATAGAGGGAGCTCATCCACGCTCTCCCCGGATTTGAACCTGTGACCTGTCGGTCTTCGGTCCTGCCGGCACAAGGGTTTAACCCACCGCGCCACCAAGGGCTCCACAGGTATAGATAAAAACATCCCAAGTTATAAATAAATGTGCTTATTAAAATTCAAACCGCATTACAAACAACTTTAAGAATCTGGGTTGTTGTAGGTTTTTTCGGGCTATATGGCCATGTTCTAGAGGCATTCTCTCTTGACATTTCACCTGAATCTATGGCTAGCATTCTCACTACCTCTGAGGATGCTTGCCATAGATGCAGGTGAAATGTCAGGAGAGAATACCTCTAAAACATGGCCATATAGCCTGAAAAAACCTACAACAACTCAATGATTCTGGCCATGAAAGCCTTTGACAATACATTGAACTTTAAAAGTCCATAAAACCTATGCATACCACATCCTTAGCAGCCACTTAATTATCAAAGGCTAACAGCTCTTTGCAAACAGAAGATTAAAAGACAGGTAGCCAATCTAATCTTGCCTCCACAGCCTGGGAGTAACCACCAATAAGGCCCTTCTTCTCCCTTTCTTGAAATACCTGCTCAGAGTTTCATGAGATACGTTTGAAAGACTACACCATTTCCCATTCTGCTGAAACCTCTTTCTTTAATCTCTGTTTAAAGATCCAGTTCTAATGGCAATTTCTGCATGGAGGAAGGCTTCATTGTTGTGATGAGCTTGCACACATTTCCTCACTCAATGCAACCCAGCGGTTGTTCGGAGGGGAAATCTTCCCCCCTGCTGCAATTTCCATTAACACTCTCTTGGAGACTACTCAAAATAGCCACTTTGGTGGCCTTCAAGACACAGTTTGTTGCCATGGGAGCCTATAGATGAATAAAGCAAAGTCAACAGAGAAAATGGATTTGTAGACATTCTTTTTTTTATTTGTTGAAGGCATTTTTAATACAGAATAAAAAAGAATCGTTTTGAAAGAACTGGAGGTGTGTGTTGGAGATCGCTGTCTGATACCTTCCACAGCTC